TGCAGGAAACCGCTAATCACAGAAACTAGGTGATGGGCAAAATTTTTTCAACGTCTATGTATCTTCAAAATTTTCATTGTAAAACACTACGGGAAAAAATACTGTCTATATGACATGGTAACACCAGAAGTGGCCCAACAAATAAAGGGCTGAAACGAAAGTCCCATCCGCTAACAAGACCCCATCCTTCTGCCCTGAGTGTGAAGGTCCCATACTGGTTCCTAAAACATATACATTCCAAAGGATACAAATGGGCTAAACCGAGGCTGACAACCGTCTAGGATTTTGACACCTTACACCGCGCACTGCTGCAGAGAACTGCCTGGTGGGTGGCTGCAGTGGGAAGCCCAGACGCAGTGCGGCCAGGGTCGCCTGAACTGAACAGCCCACGAGGCCAAATTCATGGTGATGCTGGCCGGTCCCTCACCTGATGGGCCAGAGCCCCTGAGCTAGACCGTGGGCATCTAATCTACCTCAGCTTGGCAGGAACGGCCCAGACGAGCTGAGGAAGTGCTTCTCTCAGCACCGAGCGATCACGGTGCAGCCCGACTCGCCATCCCGCTGCTTCTCGCCCGTTTTCCCACCGCCCCCCAGGAGCCTGGGCAGGCATTTCTCTCCCAGTCGCCGCCCATGAAATGCTAACACCACAGCTGCACTGCATGTCTGCCCATGTCCTGGGACCCTTCGGGAGGCCACAGACCACGGTCCTATCTAAGACACTTTCACCCTCCTCTCCCTCTTGTGGGAGTTTTCGTGGAGAATGCAGGTCCTGATGGACAGAAAGAGACCTGGGCAAACACGCACCAAGTCAGCGAGTTCTCGGACAAAGTCAAGAACGGGGAGAAAGCAAAGAGGAACTGTGCCACCCTCTGCGTGCCTCGGTGTCGTGTGCGCATCACGCCGTGTGAACTCTCCACGGACTCCCATGCACGCTGCAACAACCCAAATGCCCTTCAGCAGGTGCACGGGTAAATCCTGGCCCCTCCGCACCACGGACACTCCAGAGCGGTATGAAGAAACGAACCCTCACGCCTGCAGGAGCCGCGGCAAATCTCAATACACTGTGCCCGTGAGCGAAGCCAGACTCCAAGACCCATCCATGCCGCTCCTCCAGCTGGCACCCCCAGAAACACGGAGGCCAACAGGTGCCCAGGGCTGGGGGAGGGGCGGACCACAGAGAGGCCCCACGTGGAAATGGTTTGGGATCAAACAACCGTTTTGAATCCTATTGTGGAAATTACATATTTGTTAAAATTTTCACAATTCTACACACACACACACACTCACACACACAAGTGATGCTGGTACGCCCCCTGGTCAGGGCGCGTACAAGAAGCAACCAGTGGGCACACGAGGAGGTGGAACAACAAACCCATCCCGCTCTCTCCCCCGTCCCCTCTCCCTCCGGTAGGAAAGGAAGCTGTAACCTCGGAAGGGTGGCTGGAACGTCCGTATATGGAGGAGAAACCGTGGAGGAAAAGCAAACCGAAGGCCTGGAGAAGGCAAGAACGCGCGGGTCCAACACAGGCGGTGAAACAAGGAGCGCTGGCCGGCACGACCAGCAATGGCTGCAGAGGATCAATGGGACCCGACCGTGCTAGCTAACGAACACTTTCTAAAAGCACGCAGAGCTGCATACAAAGCTGCATACACAACCGCAATTAAACGAGGAGGGGGAAGAAGAGGAGAAAGGGAACTTCATGGGTACAACAGGGGACCAAAAGGAACCTGTCTGTGGTGCGTGTCTTTGGGTGGTAGAATGACTTCACGTTTTAAAATGCACGGTTCCATTTCCCCCAACCACTCAGAGAGCATGTTAATGTGATTGGTTCCACTAAAAAAAAAAAAAAGTTACAAAGACCCTCTTATGTGCACCCACGTGAAAGCTTCATCACGAAATAGAGAGGACGACGTTCCTCTCCCAGCCCGGGGCGTAAGTGCTATTTGCGGAAGTCCCGCTGCGTGGTTTCTGCGGCTGACACGGGGGCGCCTGGGCCGAGGCCC